ATCCTCAGAGCCAGGGACCCAGTAGGCCCTCAATGAATGTTTGTTAAATGTTTAATGTCATTGTATCATCAAAAAGGGAATCTTTTTTTTAATACTAATTGTTTATAGTGCTGACATACATTGTGAGGTTTGGCATGCGTGCTTTAGAGCTCTGAAGCCCAGTCTCAAGAACGTTAGGAAATTACATTCCACACTTTAATAAGCTGTGAATTGAACTCTAAATCTCAATGCCTGAAATTTACAAGTTAGTCCCAATCTAGAAAAGCGCGATGTTAATATTTTAACAGTAAATAAGCACTTGAAAGCACAACCATTTTAATATTTATTATAGAATTTTTGATCCCTGAAGAGATAACTTACTAGTGGTTTTAAAGGTCTTTGAAATCTTTTCTAAATCTTCCTTGTTTCTTTACCTCTTCAGTTTCTCCTTTTAGGCTCATTTTTATCATTCATAGGATTCTGGTATTTAATTAACACCTCAACCTTACAATTCTCTTTTTCATAAATTTCCATGCAGAAGTCTGGAGACCCTAAAGAGATAAGGAAGTGCTAATCTCCCTGGAGTCTAAAGCTGAGATAAAACCACCGAGGAGGCTGTAGCTGTTCCTCTTGCAGGAGCAGGTGTTGTCCTTCCCCGAGGAGTTATTATGTGTTGGAAGAAATGAGATAATGAAAATAAACAAGCTATTTTGTGAATGTTATCAAATATCACCAGCACCAGCCAGATAGACCCTTAAATAAATATTCTTTACTGATAAAAGCAATGGCAGATGAATGTGACCGTTTTCTAAACAGAGAAAAAAATAATTCGAGCAAAAGGGCTGACCTAATTGGGCCACACATGAGGTTGTGTGTGGGAAACAGTCCTTGAGAAGTGGAAAGCGTGTTGTTAGGTGGGCTCAGCTGGCTGTCAGCTGTCAACTCTGTCCCACAACGAGGGCTTGGCAGCCTTCTCAAGCAGGCTTCCTCTCTTCCAGGTCACACAGCAGAGTTACTGGGATGTGATCTACTGGGATCTACTGCCCCTTAGGATATTCAAGGGACCTGCTGCTGTACGTGAAAAGCCAACCAAAGATAGGATGAGAGGAAGAACCAAAATGCTTCCCTGCTGAGCTGTCTGCCAGATCTTGGGGGTTTTAATCAACCAGTCATGAGATTCTTTGCTGTTCTAGGACAATCCACTTACCTTATGGCAAAATTTCTGGAAAGATACCAGCAGATAGTGACCACAAAAGTAAGTAACCCGATGAAAAAGTATAATTTTGTTAGTAGTGTCAATGTGAAAATTATGAAGGTTTAAAAATGTTTTTAAAATAATGCTATAGTTGCCTACTCTAAAAAAATTAATAGTGGGGATTATTCCTTAGTTGACGTGAACACTTGATTTTGTCTGGGTGATCAGGGAAGACATCATGATGGAGGTGGGTTTTGAGTTGACAGTGAGCCATGAGTGAAGAACAGTAGTCTGAGTATGAGAGGAGAAGAAGGAGCACTACATGTTGAGTAAACAGCCCCCTGGAAAGTCCCAGGGTGTGAAAAAACAAGCTGCCTTGACAGGGATGAAGTGTGGAGGGAGTACACAGTTCATCTAAACTGCTTATCCATTCTCTGCCTTTGTATATTTGTACATTATCCACCTCCACCTCCAGGAAAATAGATACATATTTAAACAAGAAAAGAAACAGGCTTGAAGTAACTTAGCTGTTACCATAGAGAATAAGAAAATAAAAATTTTCATATTATATGAGAGGAAAATCAAGCAGGATATATAATGAGTCAGAATAAACCACTAAAAAGGCTCTTTAATAGAATAAAGAAGAATAGTTATCTGAAAGTAAGCTACTGTTTTGACATTTAACTGGGAAGATGTTCAACTTTTAGACTAAGAATATAGTTCTCCCTTTTCTATTGGAAGACATCATAATTATTCAGAGAAGCTGATGTTTGCAATTCTAGTTACTTTCAAATGATAATAAAGTAAAATAAAACTAAACCCAGTGGATGCATGTGTGTAAAAGAGAATGACACTAAAATAATTTCTATCTTTTCCACAAATGACTTGAAGCATTTTCCTGATGTAGCTAAACATCTTTCAAAAATTAATTTCAATTATCCTTTTTATTTTTTTTAACTCTCTTTTTGCTTACATACTAAACTAGTTGAAATGATTTCATTTTTTTCCTTTACTTTTTTCTTTTTCTGTCTTTGACCTGTAAGAATTATATTTCATGGCACTGGGAGTGGCCGAAGAGGAAATTACCAGGTATCAGTCTCTGAAAAATCCCAAGGAGTGAGAGCGATGCAGAAAGACAGAAAGGGATAAAATTTAAATCCAGTTTTCCTAAACAGAAAGAGGTAGATTCTGCAGAATTACTGATGAGGATTGTGAGTGAGGGCCTAGACCAGGTTATTAAGAATCTGACTATGAGCACCTAATTAAAAATAATGACCACCACAATCCAGTAGAGATTATTGAATAATAAGTCATGTCAGATTAACCCTCCGAGTTCCCCCAGGTTATACTGATAGGTCAGAAATAGAGAACAAAAAATAATAGAAAATCAACAAAATTTAGGGCTGGCTCTTTGAAAAGATAAACGTAATTGACAAAACCTAGACTAATCGAGGAAAAAAGAGAAAGGACCCAAATCCACAAAATTGGAAAAAGGGATCATTTCTGATACAACAGAAATTCAAGGATTATAAGAGGCTACTGTGAAGAACTATATCTCAAAAAACTGGCCAACATAGAAGAAATGGAAAAGGTCTTAGAAATATACAACTTACCAAGACTGAATCAGGAAGAAATAAAAAATCTGAATGGACCAATTACTAGTAAGGAGTTTGAAACAGTAATAAAATTCTCCCAATGAAGAAAAGCTCAAGATCAGATGGCTTCACTGATGAATTTTACCAAACATTTAAAGAAGAATTAACACCGATCTTTCTCAAATTATTTCAAAAACTCAGAGGAAGGAACACTCCCAAACTCATTTTATGAGGCCAGCATTATCCTGATGGCAAAACTAGAAAAGGACACTAGTAGAAAAGAAAACTACAGGTCAACAACTCTGATGAATATAGATGCAAAATTCTCTATAAAATACTAGCAAACTAAATCAGCAGCATATTAAAAGGATCATTCACCACGATCAAGTGGAATTTGTCCCTGGGATGCGAGGATGGTTCTACATTTGCAAATCAATCAGTATGATACATCACATCAATAGAATGAAAGAAGAATCATATAATCATCTCAATAAATGCAGAAAAAAAGCATTTGATAAAATTAAATACCCATTCACGATAAAACCTCTTAATGGGCAAGGAAGGGACATATCTTCACATAATAAACACCATATGTGACAAGCCAACAGCTAACACTAAGTTCAATAGTGAAAGGTTAAAAGCTTTTCCTTTAAGATTAGAAATAAAACAGAGTGGGTGCCTCTATCACCACTCCTATTTAACATAGTTCAGGAAATCCTAGCTAGAGCAATCAGGCAAAAATGATAGATAGATAGATAGATAGATAGATAGATAGATAGATAGATAGATAGATAGATAGATAGATAGATAGATAGATAGATAGATAGATAGATAGATAGATAGATAGATAGATAGATAGATGATAGGTGATAGATGATAGAATCAGAATTAGAAAGGAAAAAGTAAAATTGTCTCTAGATGTAGATGATGTGATTTTATATGTAGAACTTCTTAAAGATTCAACCAGAAAAACTCTTAGATCTAATCAAGGAATTCAGAAAGGTTGGTACAAAATTAACACAAAAATCAGTAAAATTTCTATACGCTAACTGAATTTTCCAAAAAAGTAATAAACCAATCTCACTTACAATAGCATCAAAAACAATAAAAATGCTTAGGAATAAATTTAGCTAAGGAGGTGAAAGATCTTTACTCTGAAAACTATGAGACATTGATGAAAGAAATCAAAGAAGACACAAATAAATGGAAAGGAATCCCATGTTTATGGATTGGAAGAATTAATATTGTTAATATGGCAATACTACCAAAAGCCATCTTTAGATTCATTGTAATTACTATCAATGGCATTTCAATGGCATTTTTTTATAGAAGTAGAAAAAAAGGTTCCAATGGCATTTTTTATACAAGTAGAAAAAAACACTCTTAAAATTTATATGGAACCACAAAAGACCCTGAATAGCCAAAGAAATCCTAAGGAAGAAGAACAAAGTAGGAGGCATCACACTTCTTGATTTCAATCTATATTATAAAGCCACAGTCATCAAAACAGTATGGTACTGGCATAAAAACAGACAAACAGACCAATGGTACAGAATCAAGAGCCTAGAAATAAATCCCAGTACATGTGGTCAACTAATATTTGACAAGGAAGCCAAAAATGCTCAATGGAGAAAAGATAATCTTTCAAAATGGTGCTGAGATAATTAGACATTTATATGTAAAAGAATTAAACTGGACCCATATCTAACCAATCACAAACATTAACTCAAAATGAATGTAAGACCTGAAACCATGAAATTCCTAGAAGAAAACATAGGAATAAAACTCCTTGACATGGGTCTTAGTGATAACTTTTTGGATATGACACCTAAAGCACAGTAACAAAATAAAAAATAAGCAAGTGGGACTACGTCAAACTAAAACTATCAACAAAATGAAAACAACCTATGGAATGGGGAAAAATATTTATAAACCATATATCAGGTAAGGGGTTAATATCCAAAATACATAAAGAACTCATACAACTCAATAGCAAAAAATAATAATAATAATAACCCAACTAAAAAATGGGAAAAGACCTTAACAGACATTTCTCCAGGAAAGATATATGAAAGACAAATAAGTACATGAAAAGATGATCAACATCACAGGTCATCAGGGAAATGCAAATCAAAACCACAATGAGATATCACCTCACACCTGATAGAATGGCTGTTCTCAAAAAATGAGGTGGCAATTGCTGGCATGGATGTGGAGAAGAGGGAACTCTTGTACACTGTTGCGGGGGTGCGGGTTGTAAGTTGCTACAGCCACTATGGAAAACAGTATGGAGGAGAGTCAGAAAATGAAAAATAGAACTATCATTCTACCATTTACAACAACATGGATAGACATTTAAGCATTATGCTAAGTTAAATAAGTCAGACAACGAAAGATAAATACTGTATGATCTCACTTATACGTATGATCTAAACTAACAAGTAAACAAACTCATAGAAAAGGAGATCAGACTTGTGGTTATCATTGGTGGAGGGTGGGGGAGGGGAAATTAGAGGAAGCTATAGACTTCTAGTTATAAGATAAATAGATACAAGGGATGAAATGTACAACATGATGACTACAGCTAACTGCCATGTAATATACAGGAAAGTTAAGAGAGGAAATCCTAAGAGCTCTCATCACGAGGAGAATTTTTTCTTTTTTCTTTTTTTTCCTTTTTATTGTATCTATATGAATAGATGGTTGTTAGCTGCACTTATTGTAATCATTTCACAATATATGTAAATCAAACCATCATGCCATACACTTTAAACTCATTCAGTGGTGCATGCCAGTTATTTCTCAGTAAAACTCAAAAAACAATTTACTTGAAATTCTTTAAAAACTGTAAAAAAATGAAAAGAGTTTGTTTCTCTGTCACCTGAAAGTTGAAGGTAAATGTTGTCAGTCACAGGGGACTGTCCTCAAAATGGTCATGCAGGGACCAGATCCCTCTCAACAAGTTGCTCTCTCAGCTCTAGGTTGTCGTTTGTGTGGTTGAGGATGTCACAGTGAGTCCCAGCCATCATGCTGGCAGGAAAGGAAAAAAAACATAATGCGTAAGAGGCTGTATTTATTTTAAGTGCACAATTTGATCAGTTTTATTGATTGTATACTCCTGTGCAGGCTCTACTCCAATCAAGATACAGAATTTGGGTTGTCGACTTCTATTTTAAATTAGTTGTTTTGGTGAAATAATTTGCCTTTGAATTTGTGGATAGCATTAAGCCAAGAGGAATAACAATTATTTGGGGTAACATGATAATAATCCAAATATTCCTTAAGAATCTACAGAAATGACTGAATATAATTTAATAGAGGTACATGTAAACTTTGCACTTGAATTCAAAAGTCAACTTCAGAAGTAAAGAAAACCACACAGAACAAACATGTAGCTAAATAAATTACATAAGAATACTCTTGTAACTCTTGCACTCAGCCGTGCAAATCAAGAAATAGAATATT